CGACTCTCCAGGCAACGGTGAGTGACAGCTCTATAGAGTTCGTCGGGTTGGTAGCATTGTGCGGACTTCTCCTGCCCTCTGCACACCCCTCACTCGGTCACTTTTGCCGCGGTACTCTCTCGCGAGCTCGTATGTAAAGCGCCGGTACCCGGCCTCGGTACCGCTTACGACGTTTAGTACCGTACGTCGTGTATACCGGCTGTAACTGCGCCGCGAGACGACCTCCGATATTCTCGGACACCGAGCCCGATTATTTCCTCGTGGTGCTCGTTTTATCTCGATTCCAAGGCGCACGGCGCCCACTTGCGTGCCGATTACGCCGATGCGCCTTTTTGCAGCCAGCTTCGAACGCCGCTTCCCGCGATTACCTATTGCCGCTTCATTTTTTCCCCCGATAATCGGTCTAGAGCATCGCTGTGTAATTGCTATACCGGATACTCCGCGTTCCGTTATCGAGCCGTGATTCGATCGCGCGCATCGGCGAGCGCGTGAAATCGCGAATTCCACGCGGTGACGCGCGCGCGCCCCGCTGTTCCCGGGAATCAGGCTATCTCGAGGCTCGGCGAACGGGAGAAAAGAAAAGGAGAAAAGGAGAAAAATATATCGAGATCGATCGGTCGGCGAGGAAACGAGTCTTCGTTTCGAAACATCGAACCGACTCGACTCTTCCAAGATACGGTCTTTGGTCTGGTTTCATCGCGCGTTTTCCTTCTCGCCGTTCTTTTATCGGTCACTTTCGCCATTCGCGATTTTTCACCCGTCTATTCGCGGCCTACGCGCCAACACAGGCACGCATACGCACCGCTCGAGGGGGGCACGAGGTCCGAGGAAGGAAACGCGGTGGAGAAAGAAGGACGCCGAGGGACGGAAAAACGAGCAACGCGAAAGGGACCGAGATGGAAGCGGCAGGAGCGTGGACGAGAGGAAAAGAGAGAAAGACAGAGAGAACGAGAGAGAGCGGGAGCGTGGAAGGAGAGGCGGCAAACACGCGCATATTTATTTATGCAAACGGAATACGCATCCAGCTAATTGTGCGGTCGCACACCCGCGGTGACTCACGTGACGGCTACTCGGGCATCGTTCCTGCATGTCAATTCGCGTGACAAAGGATCGTGGTTCGCAGCCGCCGTCCACCCACGACACTTCCGGTTCGTCCTCGAACTCGCTCTCCCTCTCTCTCTCTCTCTCGCTCCTTCTGCCACCCCACACTCCCCCCGCGTAGATAGCCGACCAGTTCGCGTGCGCGAGGACCTTCTCACCGCGTGGTCGCGCAATTAGGCGCTCTTATGTGCAAATGACAAGAATTTTAAATGCGCCTACGCCAGATAAAAACGCTGCGTGTAACGAGCGAACGAGTGTTTCCTGGAATTCCTCCGATGCATTTTTCGCCGCGTACCCCGCGCGCGCTCGTGAATTCGAGTTCTCCGTCGAGTCGGCCGACGAACGCTCGTCTCTGTCCTCCCCTCGTCGGTCCGCGTCGCGTCCACGGCGCCAGGCGCCGAACTCGATTCTCGGTACGCGCGAGCTCGCCGCCGATCGGACGCTACTCGCGGGAGACCTCGCGGGAGACCTCGCGGGAGACCTCGGAGGAGACCTCGGTGGAGAACTCGGTGGAGACTCGGAGAGAGGAAAAAGAAGGCGTAGATAGGAAGGAAGAGCGAAAGGATCGCGGGGAATACTCGCGGCAGTGGTGGACGACTGTCAGTCCATCGGAGAGTCGGCGAGCCGGGAATACCGAGGATGGCTTCCCAGCTTACTCGACGAACAGCTCTATCTGTCGAGCACGAGCTGACAAAAAGCGGCGGCCCGCGTGGTCGCACGCACGAGCAACGGAAAGCACCGGGACGGCGGGGGGTTAGGACCCGAGCAACGGAGAAAAACCCTCGGATACTGCTCTCTCGTGTTCGGAAAGGTGGTAGTGATGGTAGGAAGCAAGGACGAGGAAGAACGCGCGGGACCTCGCGCGTTTATCTCGATCGGTCTGTCGGATTTACTCGAATTCGAGGCCGAGGTGCAAAACCGCGATTCTATTCGCCCGATAAATCTCCACGCGGGGAAAAGAAATTTGCATCGGAACGCGACGTTGGAATTTCGCCAACGGCCGGTTAATAACACGCGACCCACCGCTTCACGACCGCCGATCGACCGGCGACCCCTGCGACTCCGCTCGAGACCGCGGATACCATCTACGTTAATTAGTCAAGGGACAGGAGGGAGAGACGCGATGAATATCGATTTCGCGGAGCGGATTTCGCAATGGCGGAAAGTCGCGCGCGTACTTGGCGACGATCGCTCCAGTTCGTTTCGGTTTTATGGATCGCCGCGAGGGATTAGAGGAGCGTCCGGAGGAAGATGCCACTGCCTTGGGGGATGATTTAGTAACCCGACGATGCGAAGGATAATCGTATGAAATATCGTGGTATCGTAGCTGCGCTACGATCGCGCCGCGTACGATACGTACGTACGGCGATTGCCCGGTGTGTTGGCGGCATCGTTGACCTCGGAGAATGCGAGGTCTTTCGGTAAACCGAACGTACGGGAATCTCGTACGATATTAACGAATCGTTTTCTTTTTGGAACCGCGGGGGTCGGAGAGGTGGAACGGGGGAGCGAAGAGGAAAGGTGGAAAGGCGGGGAGGTATTAACGCGTGGAATCGTTTCGCATTAATCGAGACCGTCCTCGCGATCCTGCCGAGGCGGCCGTTCGTTCCCTTCTCCGTTCCGAGCCGTCGAACCCTCGGCCAACCTATCGATCGTCGATCTAGGCGGGGCGAAACTAGAGCCGCGATTAAACTATAAAATGCTCGGAACGATGAAACGAAACGGACGTTATTAGATATCCCGCGCAGCACGAAGGGAATTTAAAACGTACTATATTTAACTGTAGCACACGATCCGCGAGCGTTGCAAACCGGTCTAGCAATTACGCAGGAGATCGATCGTTGCCTCGTAATAGGCCCTTCTTAAACGCTACAGACCTATGAATCTATACGAACGAAACTTCGTAATTTCCCGCGATAATTGCCACGGACACGCGAATGTTTACCGGGTGGTGGTCGGCTGCTTTTTCACCGTTCGTTTATAACGCGAATCCGCGCAATTTATTCCTTCCGATACGTGCTATCGATTCGGTGCCAGCGTCGCGGTTGCTCGGTTTTCGACGGTTCGTGGAACGGAGAAAGAGCGAGGAATCGCGCGAGGCCATCTATCGCTAGACGGCCAGCGCCGAGGTATATCGTCATCGCGCCGGTGCGGCACATAAAACTCGACATACCAGATGCGGTTCGCCGAGTCATCCGCGATTTACGGCGATAACTTTAGCAGCCGGACAATTTGTACCTGTAACGGGCGAGCTCTCGCGGCGGGTCGAGCCTCGGCGCGTCATCGCCTCGGCGCATGCCGGTGTCGCGCGACTAAATCTCGCGAAATCGACAGCACTCGAACGCTCGTTTTCGAACGGTCGCTCGAGAGAAAACGAAGGTGACGATAGGCGACGCGGCGGCGGCGGCGGCGGCGGCGGCAGGGGAGGCGAACGAAAAGACCAAAAGAGAGCCGTCGTACCCCGTGCTCGAAGGCAGAGGCGCGAGCATGCTGAGAGCCTTTCGAGGCACCGTATTTTATAACCGGTGTAGACAGCCACCGCACGTACAGACGGTTCTCTACCTCTGTCGCGATGCTTGTACGTACCACGTAGCCAAGGCTCGCGCTCGTTCTTCGTGGTCCGGAGAACGTGGGACCCCACTGACCGCCAGCCCATGCTCGGCCACCACGACGCCCGAGCCCATTTTTCCATCTTCTTCCTCTTCGTTTTAAAGGGATGCGAGTCTGCCACTCCACCTACCGAGCGCACCGAGCGGTGCCTTCGTTATTTTACCCCCCGATTCCTCCCCTTCCCTAAAACGCCGCGAAACTGGCTTCTACGAGGTGTACTCCAACGTGCCGACAATACTTTTTTCTCCTTTTCCTCCCTTTACGCCAATCCACGCGTATTTATATATTTATGTATACGTACGTGCACATAAATATATATATATATATACGGTGATAGGGAGCGGAAATTCGATAGAGTCCTGCCAGCCACGCCACCCGTCGCCATTTATCGGACACGCCTTTGCTCGAGAGGGGTCTTTTCGAAAATACGAGAACCCGATTGGCGAGGAAAGGGTGCAAGGTATTTGGTACCGTGCGCGCTGGTATTCACCGAGCTATGCGCTCCGGCCTTTTCGAAGGAAACCCACGGCGGATTGTATTCCGTGTACACCCCGATTGAAATCGATATTCCCGGCAAGGTCGGTGCGCAACAAAACCAGAGGAACAATGGATCGGCTGGTTCTACATTCGCCGAGCACGGGGGAATAACGGGTAAAACTGCTCGCGATTTAATACGGCTCTTTCTTCCATCTTGACCCTCTGTCCCCTCTGTTTCTCGCAGCCTTCCTTTTCGATCTGTCGGACGAGGGGTGGCGTGGAATCGGCGAAAACCGCGACGCGAAACTAGGGAATAATCGATGGAAGAACCGGGCTCGGTCAGTACTGCATGGCTGCTAGATCGTGCTCGCGACCGGGACGAGGAAGGACGGAAAGGTTGGTCGCATTAACGAAAGAATAATTCGCGTGGCGTCGGGATTATCTGATACGTATCGCGAGATAGGAAGCGCGAGAATGCAATTTAGAAATGCAAATCTAAATTGGAAAATTATGCAGATGTGCGTGGAGCGCGAGGGCAGAGGGGTGGAACGAAACTAGTGCGGCATAAAACGGACGGATAGGAATTAATCTGTCGATAGAAAGTGAAACTATCGTCGCACGCGATCGTAAGTTATTAGGATTAGCGTGGAAAATTGTGAACATCGTAGTTGTAATAAGATACCTAGTTAGACGTATCGCGAGCCGGCTTTAATAATTCAGCGAACAGAAACGCTTTCGATAACATCGTTCGCGAACCGTAACTGCTCGTCTACCAGAATAGTCGACGTCAACGGGGGATTAAGCGGTAACTAATGCGAGAGATTAACGAAGACGAGGCTAGAGACGAGGCTAGAGACGAGGCTAGAGACGAGGTCGAAGACGATGTTTCCGACAGGAAGTCGCCGAACAGAGAACGTCGGGCGGGGTCGAAGGGGTGGTGGAGGGGTGAAGAGGGACGATCGAAAGTGGTTTCGCTGGGAATTAGCGGGTAATATCGGTACCGATAATGCTCGGCGATAATTCATTAACACGATGGTCGCGGAACGAAAGCGAAACCCGTCGTTCCACTTTTTCTTTCTTTCCGTTGGAATTATTCGAATTGCCGCGAGGCTGCGAGGAACGTGGAACACTGCCGGCTAGAGAGGAAACAGTCCTGTTAAAACGAATCGACGATTTTCTTTTTCGCCAACTTTTCGCCACGCTCCTCTTCCTTAACCTTTCGGTCATTCTCGTCCGACTCGCACCGCGAGCCGCAGAAACCGTGCAATGCCTCTTCAAGGTGGCAACAGTGTTGGCGGGAAAGTTATTCCACCGGTTGCCGGTAAATCATTCTTCGTGGACTCCTGCTTTATTATCTACTGTCTCTCTTGCTTTCGCTGCAGCCTTCGTTGCTTCGTCCCTTCGTCCTTCTTCGCCTACCACCACGCAAGCTCGGCCTCTCTCTCTCTCTCTCTCTCTCTCTCTTTCTCTCTTTCACTGCTGGAATCTTTCTATACCTACCTACCTACCTACCTACCTACCTACCTACCTACCTACCTACCTACCTATCTCGACATGCTCGGTCGTTGGTTCGTCACGGAAAAACGCGGCGAGAGTCGAATGGGACACTCGAATAGCGCTTTCGGAGCTTAATTACGCAGCTGCTCCGGTATCGGACCGTGTTACGGTTCTCGCGATTATTCGCGATGGAAAGCGTTAAGAACGATTGGTAGCGACGACTGGGTCGGGGCACGTAACGAAGTAATCGATCATCGAAGACGCAATCGCGATCGAATCTCGCGATTCCACGTTCTCGTCGAACACGGGCGGAACGATTTCAGGCGGTGAACAGGCGGATCACGGCTAGATGGCCGGTGCGATACCTCGAACGCGAGAAGAAACTTTAAACTGTCATTAAAGCAGCTCTGGCTGGGTTAAAGGGTTCATTACCGTCCAGCACTCGCGTCTCGGTTTCTTTTGCTTCGAGTTCCCGACGATTGGCACACACCACGACTACTATCCTGCAAATTACGTTCCGCGTTGATAAATTTACGAGTTTTCTCTCCCCTCTCGACGCGTTAACCCGCGTCCGATCGATTACGGTACCAATTACCTATCTAGCGATCGATCCGATGTAATCGACCGCGCGGCACTTCCGATACCGTGCCGCTACGCAAAATTAAAAACGTCTGCTTTACGTTTGACCTCGCGTTTCGTCTCGCTCTTTTTCGACCGAACGAAACGAGACACCGTGTATTACGCGTGCGTCGCGACGCGATCAGGAATTCGACCCCTCGCGGAAATCATCCGTTCCGCCTCGATGCCGAGAAAATCCGTTCGTTCGATATTTACGTTTCCGTGAGCCGCGAAATATCGCGACTCGCCGTGGATAACCCAAACGAGAATTTATTAGCGAATTTGTTAGCGAATTTATTAGCGAATTCGTTAGCGAATTTATGAGCAAATTTGTCAGCGAATTTGTTGCCCGTTGCGAACGGGCCATCTGTCGAACGGTTCACGGGATATCCCGTATTCGGAAACGTGAAACGAAACGTCGTAGCCTCGGAATTTTCATGGAGCGACGACGTTTCCGATCCTGTCAGCGTGCCCGACCGTTCAACTTGTCGCGATGATGCAACGATCGTTTATCGGCATTCAATTAATTCGAATATGTCGATCGTTTCAGGTGCAGGCTACGGATCCGGATTGCGGCGTGAACGCCATGGTGAATTACACGTTAGCCGCGGGAAGAATGGAAAGCGAACAGCTGATGGTACGCAGCGATACCGGAGACATTTGCGTCAGAACACCGTTGGACAGGGAAACCGCACCCTATCTGGAGATTCCTGTCATCGCTACCGACAGAGGTATGTACCGCTCGCGTGACTATTACCGGGGATAAGAAAGAGCGAGAAGAAGCGAGAAAAAGAGCGCGAAAAGAACGAAATGATCCGGTGGAATTATTTCTCGGCGAGGAAGCAGGTATTTTCCATTACGTAGCCGTAAACTTCTTACCCAGGCGTCTCGCGTAACTCTTGCCCGATACGTCGATCGATTAGCGTTGGCGTTTCGTAACGAATCTTCCGTGACCAAAATAGGAGTAGGATAAAGAAGAACCGCGCGAACAATGCTTTTCCACGGCCTTATCGCGGAGGTGGTGCGAGGCAGAAACGAGAACGGAGAAGAAAGCGCGACGACGAACGGTGTGTGGCGACACAGAGCGGTGGAAACGTGTGGCACCAGGAAGAAAAGAAGCAGCCACGGGAGCCGCGCGCTGGTGGAACGAGGGAAGAGCGAGCTATCGCCGTGGCAAGATCTAGCAGCTCTGTAATGGGGTGTATGATTTATGTCGTCGGTGTACGGTGTGCCCATTTTCAACAGCCTCCTTCCAGGTTGCCCTTACGAGCGAGGACAATGACTGAAGTCCATTGATCCGTCGGAAGACCGGCACTGACCTTGTGGGGGCGGGGGGGGGGGAAGGATCGGTTTAGCGGAATTAATAGGAAAATTAGGTTAGCAAACGGCGGAGAGAAGAAAAGGAAGAAGAGCGCGAACAGGGATCGGATGAAACGTTGTAGATCGCGAGGGAACCGGCGGAGAAGGGACGGGAGGATGAAAGAGTAGAAGCAATGGGGAGCTCTATTGTTGGCCGCATACCGTTTTGCAAACAGGAGAACTCCCATCCATAATTGTCGCTCGTTATCGATACGATTGTTCGGCGTGCTACCAGGCTCACCGACACCATCGGCACAATAGTACCGCTGGGATATGACGGGAGAGCAGCGTGCGGGCCAACCACGAGACGCGGCGCTCCACGCGAGCCAGCTTCGCGTGATTTATACCACCTGCTGACGACTCGAGAGACGCGTTGCAAGCGGACGTTGGCCGACTCGAGCGAACGCGCTTCGGCTTTGCCGGCTTTCGAGATACGCGATTACGTGGCACGAAATCAAGCTGGCTAGAGTCGCGATAACTAGCCCGCGAACGCGTCGCGAGCAAGAGGATTTCGCGCGTGCATGTAGTCGTCCACTAGGCCCGTGGTTCGATCGAGATCCACCGCGTCCGGAGAGGAGAACGCGTTCGTCGATAAGCATCTGCTGGAACCGGGAATGATAATCGAAACCCGGCGTATTATCGCGTTAATGGCGCCGGATAACGGCCGAGCTACACCGATAATTATTACCTACGAGTAGTCTTGCTTTGAATCGTGTCGGAGATCCGCGGAGAACGGCTGGATAATGCGCGCGTGCATACGCTTCCTCGTGCGAGTCACTTTGTTCTCCCGCGACCGGACCGGAGAGAGCCGCTGCTAGACTCTAGACACCGGCCCCTCGGGGGTTGCCGGGTAGTAACACTCGGAATAATAAATTTTAAAAACCAACTCTCCGCGTTGCGGCGTGCGAGCGTTGGATTGGCCAAAAGTGCCCACTCCCGTACCTACGTACATACGTACCTTCCGTTTTTTCCTCCTTTCGTTTCAAACCGGAGAGTCCCGAGATGCGTGCATTCATCTGCGAACAATGCGACGAACAGCGGGATAACATCTGAAGATTTGGGTTCCAGGCATCGCGATCTTGACGAAAGAGTTGCCCGGACTCGATGTTATCCGCTTTCTGGAAATTGCGCATTACGTGGTGTACATGCGAAATGGTTCGCGCATCTTGATGCACGTCCTACGATCAACGGGCAGAAATGCAAAGAAAGGCGAGGCCACGGTTGCAGGAACTTCCTGAAAGCCGAAACGACACTGGCGGTGACTTTATTGACACCGGCGTCATAAATCTTTGCCTCTTAACTCCCACCGACGATCATTGTCCCTGTCGTTTCTCCGCTCTCGCGTTTCTTCCCGCGACCGCTCGGCTAACCTCGAGTCTTGTCAGCCGGCGTGGTGTACGACGCTGGGGAAAAGAGCGGAGAATCGCTTCGACTCGTGTCCATCGACCGCGAGCCAACGCGTCGCGGATTTCCTATTTCTCGTTGCCCATTGCGTAAGTGGATTACGCGGCCGTGTGGCGGCATCGGCGGAGGCCGCGAGGCACGGGATTGAGCACCGCTGCCAAGCATCGGTCGCATAAATCTTTCGGAGGCTGTGCGTATCCTCCGCCGCGCGAACCTCGAAAAGGACTCGTCCCGACGATCGACCGCGTGAAATTAAAAGGATCGGTCTGCCAGACACGAGGTATCGGAATACGCGTTAGAGTGTCGTTGACCTATGTCCAGGAAGCAGCGGCCCCCGACGACACGCAGCCATTCACTGGTGGATATTCGGTTTTATTCGATCGTTAATTTGATCGATCTCCGCGGGCTCGGGATGCGCGAGGAATGC